TGATAATGTTAGTGATAATAGTGAATAAAGAATATAATAATAATTATGATAATGATGATGGTACTGCTAATACTTCAACTACCACTAATAATAATAATGATAATAATAATAATAACAATAAATATAATAATTGTAACAATAACGATAATGATAATGATATTAATAACAATACTACGTTTGATGATAATAATAATAGTGATAATGTTGATAATAACACTAATGACAATGATAATCATCATCATTATTATTAACATTATTACTATATTAATAGTGATGACGATGATAATAGTAAATGTAATGATAACAGGATTAAAACATAAATAATAATATTAACACATGATAACAATAAAAAAATAATGCTAATGATGATGGTGATGATGACTGCAGAGTAAAGTAATAAAATTGTAATAATAATAATTATAATGATAACAACTGCGATAATAATGATAATAATAATAATAATAATAATAGATATTAATAACAATGAGGATAATGTTGAAGATGACGATCAAAAAGAAAATAGAAATGAAAACAAATATATATATATATAAAGATAATGAAGATGATGATAAAATAATAATAATAATAATAACAATAGTAATAATAACAATATTACCTGCAGACGAGAGACTCACCTATATGATGAAGACTCAGAGACTCACCAGCAGACGAGAGACTCACCTGCAGACTCACCTATATGATGAAAGACTCATATAGACTCACCAGCAGACGAGAGACTCACCTGCAGACTCACCTATATGATGAAAGACTCATATAGACTCACCAGCAGACGAGAGACTCACCTGCAGACTCACCTATATGATGAAAGACTCATATAGACTCACCAGCAGACGAGAGACTCACCTATATGATGAAAGACTCATATAGACTCAATAATAGACGAGAGACTCACTTGTAGAAGCACACTGCCGAACGCCCACCGCGAGAATCAGGAAGACGACAGGGAATGAGGGAGCGAAGGCGTGTCTTTGCTTCTTAGTCTTCATTCTGGGAGTGTTGAACTTCGTACGTGTCTCCTCCTGTCTCTTTCCTTTCTTCTTCCGTTTCTTTTCTTCTCTTTCTTTATTTCTTTTTCTTTTCTTCTTCCCTTTTCTTATTCCTTTCTGATTTCTCTTGCCTTTCTTATTTCTCTTTCTTTTCTTATTTCTTTCTTCATCTCTTTCTTTTCTCGTTCCTTTCTTCTACTTCGTTTTCTTTTTCCTTTTTTTTCCTTTTCTTCTTTTTTTTCTTGTCTCCTTTTTCTCCTTCGCTTCAACTTCTCCCACTCCTTTTTACTTTTTCTTTCTTCCCTTCCTTCTTCTTTTTTTTCCTTTTCTTCTTAGTTCTTTTCGTGTTTTTTTTTCTTTTCCGATTTTCACTTCAGTCTTCGATGAATTTGTTTGTCATTTCTTTCTTGCTTTGCTGATCCCGTCATTTTTACATTATTCTTTGTTCGCATGAGGGAGGAATCGTTGGCAATACTGCATGAAATGAAATTTGTATTAGTGTTAATGAAAATAACAAAGATGGTGGAATGAGAGAGAGAGAGAGAGGGGGGGGAGGAGAGAGGGAGGGAGGGGAAGTGTTAAAGAAAATAGCAAATAAAGATCATGATTGCAATAATGATGGAATGAGAGAGAGAGAGAGAGAATGAGAGGAGGCGGGGGGAGGAAAGCGACATGCAATAATCAAATTACATTAGATGTATAAAGGCTACGTAAGTAACCCCTCTTAATAAAATTAATGATTCACAAAGTATTATTAAGGTAGTTATTACTATTTTTATTGAAATTTCCATAAAATTATTATTTATAATGCTATTTTCTACTTACTTACTTCTGCGTACTTAACGCCTTTTTGGATTAATGTTAATGAGTTTCCTTTTCCTTTTTTTTTTTTTTTTTTTTTTTGATTCGCGAAGCAGAGCCTCGCCCGGGATATGCCTATGTGGGGATCCCGCCCGGTAGTTTCCTTATGTTTGTAAACTTATTCTATATGACTGCGGACTTGATAGTCAATATTTTGGTGTAAAATGTGATAAATGACAATATAGATATTAAAGACGCGGGAGGAACATATTGCGATTCTATACAAAGTCTGTTACCATCGTTATTACTATTTTTATTGTTATTATTGTTATTGTTATCACCGCTATTACTATTACTATAATCATCATTGTCATTATCTTTACCATCATTATTATTATCATTATTATTACTATTCTTCCTCATTAAGGTAAGTACATGGCACTGACCCTCAGTTTTTGCACTTTTATTTTTTACACGACTAACCGAAAGGGGAGAGGTTAAAAAGGAAGATAGGAAGGGAAAGATGAAAGGAAAAGGGAGAAGAAAGGGATAAGAGGGAGAAAGGGAGGAGAAAGGACCTTAAAGAGAAAAAGGGAGACCGAAGAGGAAAATAGAGGAAATGGAGGGGACCTAAAAGAAAAAAGAAAAAAATAGATGAATAAAGGGGAAGAGAGAGGAGGCTCAGAGATAAA